TTTTGAGGTAGTTAGTTCGTGGAAAGGGAACAACTAGTTTGTTTTCGGAGTTTCTTAAAGAGTAGCGTGTCGTGTTACATTCCGTTTGCTAAATTTGTTTTGTCTTCTTAAAGAGTGTGTTTCTTTGACTTTCTTACTGCGTCTGTTAATAGGGTTGTCAGGGTGTGTTCTTGTACAAGTTAATCAAAGACAAGCTTTATACTGTTGCAGTCGTCGCTACAATTACAATCGTCATCCAGGTAAGGAATAAGTAAACAATAACGATAATGCAAACTAATGTAAATGTTCAGGTCCGCGGGCAAACAAGGTGAACAAAAACCTGCACTTTGATTGGCTGCCCGAGCGGGAAAGATATCAGCAATTACTGTGTGCAGTGGCTGGAGGTCCTTACAATATCAATGTACTTCCAAGTAGTCTTCATACCATATAATAAACCCTTTATTGACAACATAGTGACAACATACAAAGAACGAACTTAATTGTGATCAATTTTCCAGCATCTAAACACATCGACATCTCGCTTGGTAACAACCCAGTAGGCGAATTTAAACCCGAAATTGATGAAAGTTTCGGTAGTTCCCGAGAATAGTTCAATACATTAGCTCTGTCGGTCAAATACGACTGGGTGAACGTAACAAGAGTCTAACAACTACGTCGTGTACCTGAAATATTGCATGATTTAATTTTCCTGTGCTATGGTGACATTGTATTTTCTGTTGTGTTTCCTCCAGGTTCTCGCTATGGGGCTTCTCACGCTTCTTATCTTTAGAAAGAAACCGGAGTTTCCTGATCGCAACGAAGAGAAACGCATTTGTAGATCGCGCTTTTGGCAAGAATTCTGCGAAGATTAGACTTCACTTTTACAGATTTCAACCCTTGTTAATACGAACACGTAGGCAACCATATTAGATTCCTTTCCTTGTAAACGGACTCTTCTTTGGAATGGTCTGGATCATGATCAAGAATCCAAGATCACTCAGATCATGGTACATCAAAGGAATTGATTAATCCACTCTGGTCACGGCTTCATCAGTTTCTTTGATGC